CTTTCGAACAACCGGCCTCAGCTATGGAAGCAAATTCCGTCATCGATTAATTTCTCTAAAATTCCCATCTATTAATATGATATTATGCAACATAAAATATGAATTATACCGTTATTACTCACATAAAATTTGTTGTATTAATAAGAATAGTATTGCGGAAAATATGAAGTATATAATATTGATGAATGCATGCACATTATTAATTATATTAAATCATTACCTCATTATTTCATCTATCACATAAAAGGTGATTATAGAATGTTATATTTTGCTATCATTTCTGTTGACATGCGTCTTAATACTCGAAGAAACATGTAATTTTACTTTCCTACATGGCAATGTGAATAAAATCGTGCAGTTATAGTTGTTTTTTAATCTTTACAAATGATTTCGATAGACTCAGTAAAGATACGCTTTTATTGAACATAAGGGATTACTCATTGAGCTTATCAAGCTTATTCGCACTTTTGATACGAATTTTGAAAGTTTTTAAAAATAATTTGCTCGTATCTTTCTCAGGAAATGAAATACTTTGATCAAAATCAACCGGCGATATTTTCAGAAGATAGCCGCCATCTTGGATTACTGTCAAAACGAATACAAACGTCACAGAACGCAGAATGACCGACGGCTAGTTTTTATCTTGACAGCCACCGCTGAAAATATGGGCATATTGCCTTTGGCACAGATTCAACAAGGAGTTTTGGTAAAATTTTAGATTTCATGAGGTTCACAAAATTTCAACAATTCCGGCACGATTTGAACTTGGTCCCCCATGCATGTATGATAAAATACTGACGTTTTTAGTTTTGCAAATGCATGAGCAAGCAAGCTAGATCGTTATTTCCATTTTATGAAGGGCAAATATATCTTTATTAGCCGATCCAATAAACAACTTACAAGCAAGGATTTCACACGACGATCGGTCTAGAAAAAGGTAGATTGGACCTCACGATCACAGATACAGAGCAGTATAACATGGCTGAACTCGCCACATATCTCTTCCCGTCACATCTTTAAACAGCTAGTAGCGAGCTTAGATTGAGGACGGAAACAGAATGAATGTTTGTAATCCGAAAGACGTTTAAGACGTCGTTTACGGTCTGTTTATACGACGGCGTGTTGCATAATTTCACCTCATGTTGGCAAAGACAAAGCCTTCCATTACAAGATGAGAGAAATTATATCAAATGTTGCGTTCAACTAAAGCACAACTTCCCTATAATATGCCTGCTTTATAGCCCAGTTTCCAACACATGAGACAATAAATTGATCAAAGGTGGATTGGAAGTTTGTTTACAATCTTTCCTATAAGGCTGAGGTGTTTGTGTTTCCCGTCTTTGTTGACGTTCCTTCCTCAATCTAACGTAGGCCCTTATCAAACTGCAAACACACACATCTCCAATTTTTCTAGATTTTTTAAACATTTCTTTTCTTCATTTTTTTATTGACTTCATAACCATGTCACCAGTTCAGTAACTAGGCACCCCGCTGGGAAAATATATAGCTACATGCTTCTAGCAAATGCCTCGAACCACTCGAACGCACTGTATTCCCCTCTTTACGTACGCTGATATGCGTTCTTTTGTAATAAAATTAACAAGTCCTAAGCAACAAGCACAATTCATGCACGCGTTATTCTATCGCCTTAGGGCAGAATATAATCTTTGGATGTGCCACGAATGCTTGATAATATCGTCATCTATTTAGCCCACGAATAATATAAATTTTTGCTCGATCGTAATTGTGCAACAAATCCGCCGCGATCTAAGAAGAGCGAAATCTGATCGTTTTCGACTATAGAACTAAAGATTAAGAAGAATCCACAGCTGCATCTTTTCGAAAGCATGTTTACTTTGTTTAGGCACATTGTGGACTTTGACAACATGAGCTACATGCAGATTTCTATAAGTGAATATATATTGCTAACCGATAATTCATATCAAAACACGTCAAGAAGTATAACCAATAAACAACCATTAATATAATTTCATGGTACTGACATGCATATGGCCATTGATATGGCATAGTTAAAGCTGGATTAGTTATTTTGGACATATTGACTCGTTGTTTAAGTTAGTATGTACACAGACAGTCGAAAAGTAGAAAAATAGTCCGTTTTCTTGCATGCAAATGATGCAATACACAGAATTAGAATCTCGCTTGATAGATTTAACATTGTTGTTAACTAGATGGTGAAATATATATACCTCTCATAAATTGATTCTAAGCTTCATTAAATAGATTAAAAACTCTCACAAATAGACTTAAAACACGCAAATACAATTAATGAATGGATTTCAATTAAAGTCCCACTGCAGTAAATAAGACCTCTCTTACATAAAAAAATTATTATTGTTTTTATTTAATTCATAGAAATGCATGTGTATCTATACCTCACTTTCGTCTCGATCTCCTATGGCTTGCATAGTGATTTTAAACAAAACAACACACACTCGCTTGTCGGAAGTCATTTTGGAAAACACAGAACTGATTTTTAGCGGATTAAAAGTTGATCATATCCGATAGTGAACCATTTGGCCTTTGATAGAGCAAGATTATATAATATACAACAACTCCATTTAAAACCACAATCAAGAAATATACAGAACAGGCCGTTATTGAATAACAAGTTCGTTCTAATAATCATCTTTCCTAGCATCGTTGCATGCTCCCGTAGAAGGGAGACAGATTTAAAAGAAACCATATACTTTGACAACAAGATTTGTCATAGTGGATTATGTCAAACTGACAGTCTTCTTATATACGAGGCATGCAAGCAGTCTTCAAAAGGATCAAAAGCATAAACTGTTCGGCTAGAAATAGATAAGTTAGCCTTTCGGGTGAACGCTGTTACGAAACCTGCCCTGTTAAGGAATGGATTTTCCATGCTTGCCTTTGATCCGGATTTGAAACTCAAGGGAATCTCAGTTTGCGAATGTGTTTTATTACTGACACATATTAAACAGCAATTACATGATGCAAAAGCTCTACGCACGAATGTTCGAAACGATGGGCGAACGCGCACGTTTTGTGAAGTTCTTTACGTGAACCTGTGAAAGGTTGAGATAAAGATAAATCTTCTGTGTGGCTAATCATCTCCCTAACCGTTGAGGTGGAGGGCTGATATGCAAAATGCACTACACAACGAAAGCGAAGGCGGTATATATCACTCTCTCTCTCTCTCGACTCCCACCTGTGGCTTGGACTGTGACGGAACCCTTCGTTCTATTTGTTCAGAAGAGCGTTAGCTAAGGGTGGACAACATAGTTCGACTTTCTTCGGCCAGAGGAATCTATTAATATATATCAAAGCTTATTCCGACACGTTGCAGAAACCATTCGGACGCAAACAACTCACAACTGCGAGATTTGTCATAAAAGAAGCAAGCTCGAAAGATAAAAGAGTGAAGCAACACTGAACATCGTGTTGTGGTCACTTGTTATGTAACACACAAGCACCCTGCACAAATTTCATAATAGGACGTACAATGTCGATGACATGGCTGCTTTTAGACTGTCATGCACGACTTTTTTAGCTACATATACATAATTCTTGTCATTTTCTTGTATGTTCTAAGTATGATTGATAACAGCGAATTTTTGAAATCGCTAACTGGATTATATTGTGTTTAAATAAAGGCATTTCTATTCTAATCTATTTTGTTCAAGCAGATCAATTCGAAGCTAGTTTATCAAACATGCTTCAATCATAAAGACCCCTGAGAAATGTTTCATGGCTTTCGATGTTCGATCCTCGAAACAGTCCCCAGCTTTTGGTAATGGACGCAAAAAGACCGCGTACAAAGAACATTCCGCATTAAGATTTGCAAAAGATCAAGAGCGAAAATAATTGTATTTACCATACTTTTGAATTAGCTGAAGAAGTAGCATTTCCACAATTGAGACCAAATTGAAAATGCTCAAACATTGTACAGCTACTAAGGTTCGGGAGGTGTCAAATTTTGATGAAAAGTGCAGTGTTTGGTGTGCTCCTTTACCCGCCTAAGTCCTAACCCCTGTCAGTAACTCGTGAGCAATCGTATACATATGTTTGAATATTCTTTTTTGGGAATGGGGTCGCAAAAAGAACGATCCCAACAAGTGTAGCCGGAGGTTCCTTCATTTCTGTCCGAATTAAGACATACTCAGCCGATTCACGCCTGAACGGTATAGCTAAGATTTACCTCAAACTGGAGTGTGCGATTGCATAAAGGAATGATGGGGAAACCTAGGTTGAGGCTGGGAGAGCCACGCTTTGTGTGACAGCAGAGATTTAACCTTTCGTGCTATCAACATACAGTATTAAGATTGAGGCGATAAGAAGATAGGACACATCATTGGACGTGCGTCATGACTTTGATCTTATGACGTCAATAGATTCTTCATATTAATAGCGCGCATTAGAGGACACGAAAAAGAAAGCGCTGTTGAAAACAGCCTTTTTGTCGAACACCGACTCATGCCTCGCTCCCCGAAGTGTTCACGGCGACGCGGACATCGGATATAACGCGAAAATGCGGCCGTCTCGGCATGTGCTGCGCGAACGATATTAGCAGTAGGCGTTCCAAGAGGGTGCGTCCAGGAATGAACGCCATTTTTGGTGACGTGTTTACAAAGACCTTTTTGTGACTGCTTATCGCTAAATTAGTCGCCTCGCTATCCTGGGATATTATAGATGTCAAGATTGCCCGTCATTCTAAAAACAATAATATTTTATAACTTGGCTTCTCGCTTGTACGACTTGTACGATATACGCGGGCCGTTTCACCACAGCGGTGCGGGAAAACGTGTTTGGTGTTAGTATATGATATATTTATATATGAATATATATATAAACTAATATGTTGAATTGATATTTTCATACACTTGAGATTCCCAACGGGCGTTCTAAGTTCGATACAGCTCTTTGTTCATGCTCTTTATGGACGGAAAATACATTTGCCACGCTTTGCATATTGATAGAGCAATCAATTAGGTTCGATGGCTGCGTGGTAATTGCATGAAAATATGCATTAAAATGAACGTAGTGAGTCGCCGTTCCTCAAGTTATCCAAGGCATTTCAGCGTACGCGACGAAACGCACGGGCAGTAATCTCATTGAGCTCGCGTGAGAACACTTTGTACATTCTCACGTCACCCTAAGCTGATCACATTAACTCGTTCAATCAATGTTCTATAAAACTCCTCAAGTGCTCCCGAAATTTTAGTTAATCCCGTGAAGTTTTATCAACATCCGAAGATACAAGAGTCCGCCGAATCCATGGAGGAATTCTCAACATTAGCAGGTATACACAGCTTACGAATTTTAACGTGATAATGTATTGATTTTGAAACTGGTGTTTGTTCAGCGCTGACAAGTTTGCAGTTTGCCTCACGGAGTATTAAAAACACAACACATGATACTCCATGTGGATCATACACCACGATGAATCATCGTGTAGCTCGGGTTGTTTACTCCAAAACAATTTCAAATGTTGTCGGTTAAATTATACATAAGTGGTAACGTAGTTTAGATTGACGGCAGTTTAGCGGGTTAGACAGTGCAATGGGTAAGTTCATGCAGCGTGTTTAAGACGAAATTTGCAAGCATGAGTTCCGCTTCGATATCGACGCAAATTTGTTGATCGACTGCATTTATATCCTCGCGGCATTGAGGAGGAGAGATTCAATAAATCACGAGAGTCCGTTCTGTGAACTTTTTGTACGAATGCGCGCACGTTAAAATCAATCACATCGCCGTAAAAATTGGAAACATCGCGCGGGGTTTAATGGCCAACTATTATACAGTTGGCCAACATTCGTTGAATATTGGATCCTGAAAAATCACACTGTTAAAGTAAATATCTCGTGGGACACACATTTTGTGATTGAAGTTTACCTATATAATTTGTAATAGACATGTCAACATCAACAATTATGTTTTAATAGAATTCATAATTGATGCATCAGTCTTTGATCTCATGATGCCGATCATAGCATTATTATAAAACAATTAATGTTTATGCAATTTTCGCTTTAATATGTCATGCCATTTTTTAACTAAATTGTATTGCATTTATCGAATATGGCGAATTGATGAGGATAATATTGCTTCAATCTATGCCACACAAGATACAGAAACAATATTTTTTACTGTACATGGCATGGATGAGGTTCTAGACCTATATAGCGGTGAATTTAGTCTTTCATATGCATACCCTTGCTATTGTTGTTAACTTATTTTCATTTAAACTTAATTCTTAGCATGATAATGAAATATACGGTATAAATTTATTCGGCAAAAGCAGGATTTTAAGCTTTAAAGACAGCGAGAGATTATGGAAGGACTTGTGTCCAGTTGTGTCAGTTGTAGCGCTGTCAATTTACTTTGAGAAATTTCGCGTGTAAAATTAAACTTAGCAAGAGTTAGTGCACGCCAGCCGTGTGGTATTTTAAACATCAACTTATTTTCTGGTAATGACATAAGCGCACATATATTACGACATCGTTAGTTACATATACGTATAAAATATACATTTGCATTGTATCCATATGCATGCTTGTTAAAATGTCGCGTTACGTTCGTCGCTTTGTATATGCCACTGAATGGCACTAACATAGCTAAGAGATTCATTTAAGTGCATTTTAACGCAGAAAATGGCCCGTGAACTTTTATAATAAATGCTTTTACAATGGCTTTGCAAGCGCCGAAGAGCTTAAATTAAAGTCCAAAATTCTTAAGCGTGCGCCTGGTTTAAACCGTGCAATTCATGCATGACATATATGGTATACTCAAACTCTAAGGCTAGGATATTATGTTGAAACACATGGCAGTAACGGTAAAATAAATTTGCCAGTGTAGAAATTCGTATATCGTAAACGATATATACATATATACAAACATGTTTTTGTGAAACGCGATGTAACGGAATGATATATACGATCATCATGACTAAAGATCACAAACCATCGTTAACTAGCCTGCCTCATCACAAAAGAATATCGAAATTTATTCTCAATTTGTCATTCTTTTACGTTTTACCATATAACTGGAGGCGGTGTTCGATCTGCGTCACAACTGATAGTTACAAAGAATATGTTAAATATATTTCATATATAGCTAGCGTGCAGATATATCTAATCTCAATCGAAGACCGAATGAAAACCCCAACGAACTTATCGCTGTGAATGTTGTACTCTAACCCACATAATGTGCAGACAGATTTAGTGATTTGGTTTTACTTTGAAGATACATAATATGATTATAATGTTGATACATCCAAGATTTACCTTTTCCGAGTTTTACGCGTGCAAAGCCGTGTTGGCAACGCTTAACGCGGACTCTAGCAAGTCGATCGTTTTTCAAGAGGGTTTATATTGCTTCAATAAGCTTTAACATGCAGGGAGGGCTCTAAAATACAGGTACAATTCGCTCAATTTGCATCTAAAAGAAGCTTGTCTAACTATTCGCATGAATTTCAGTTAAACTCGGTCCTCTCATTACGAATATCTATTTTTAAATGGGGCGTTTTAGGCTGTCGCATTATAAAAGTCTTTCGATATACGACCACAGCACAAGGCATCTTTGCTTTGTCAAATCAACTATAATCACTGTCAAAAACCTACAGAGCAGAGAAAACACTCTCAAGTTGTTCCTAAAAGAAGTCAGTATAGGTAAATAGGGTCGCTAAGCCCATACGACCTAATTATTGCGAACAAATTCTCAACAGGGATTCAATATAATTTATAACTACGTGCATTCAATTTTCTCGCAAAGACGCAAGTGTAAGATTTGTTTTGTGAGGTTTTTCATATTACACGGTCCTCTATAATTTATAAAGTAATTTGCTTTAGGCTCTAAGAAATCAGCATGTACATCGATCTAGGGTTTTTAACATTAACAAGAAATTAACAAAAACGTTTCGTCGTTATCAAATCAAATGTTTTTAACAGGCGGTTAGCAGATGCATGCAGTAATTATACAATTATATTTTGATGCAGAAAGATTATTCACGGCAAAATGAAAACGCAAGTAAACATTTTAACCGGTTTTTACTCAGCTACAAAGAAATATTTCAATGAAAATAGGATGGAAAGCAAGCGTTTGGGAAATAATTTAAACTGTGTCGTATAGAAAAGGTTTTGCGTAGCATGGATGTCGCTTGTTAGTAATCTATATTATTTAATGAATGCAATCAATTAAATTATGGCATGTTTTAAATTATTTTAGCTGCCGTCCATGCATTGGGATACTTTTGCAAGACAAATATATACAAATGCATAAACAGCGTCATGCTAATAGAAAATATGTTGTAAATACGTGGTAAAATCACGTGTGGCGTCTCTTGCGTCTTGATTGGTCTATACCGAAAATGGCCTTTAACATCTCTAAACACGTTTGTTGGTGACCTTACCGAGAACCTATAACCTCATAAGTGCATGCCAACCTAAAGCCCTTAACAGGCTTATTTTACTGAAAATCTTTGGCCTTCCGGTAAATGATTTTATCAAACCAGATAAATATATACATTGTATAAAGCTGTGTATATACCAATACAGAGGGACGTGCATGCATGTAAAATTCTCATAAAGAGGTCATTTACTCGCATGAAAAGTTAACCAAAATCTCTTAATACGACAGAATGATAACACTTATATAGTGATCGTGAATATGAACTACACACGCGGCATATCAAAATAACTTTGTACTAATGATCTAATCGATCTTGCCTATATACATATGCGTCGTCTTTGATAAATATCAATTATAGTTTCAAAGCGAAACATCTTGAAGCTTTAAGCAATGTGGAGCAACAATACCGAGGAAGTTTCTTTGAAAGAATGCTATAGAAATTTTTTTATACATTGTCATGCATATGGGGCGTACCCTTTCGAAACCCGTTATCTTGATTTTCATAAACAAAACCATTCGTTACGCTGCAACGCAGCTTTTGTATCAGAACGTGTGGACAACAGTTCCGCATTTAGCTTCAATTCTCACGCGAATTTCGACAACGTGAATTTCAAAAAGCTAGTTGAACGAACTTTAGATTCACGACTACCCCCCTCCCCCCCTTCTTCCGTGGATTGGCAGAGTTACGTAGGTAAGCTAACGCGGCTTTGCTAAACGTCAATGTGCAGTCACGGTCAAGTTATGTACTATATTCTGTATCGACTCCTATCATGTAAATATTATTATACAATATAGTTTATAATACAACATTTAAGTTCGCACCTTCTTGATTGGTCAAGAAGCGTGTTTCTACAACTGTATAGAAAAACACGGGACTTTTTCCGCCGAACTTGAAAAACGAAGTATATGTCATGAGAATTTGTAATTGAATCGAATTATAATATTTGTACAAAATCTTTAATTGAGTTATATTATAAAAGAAATAGAAAACCTTTATTCCTGTGTTTCTATACAGTTATGGAAACACTTTTGGGAGTTTGGGAGAACTCGAAATTTAGTTATTTCTCGTTCTCCCAAACTCCCACGCGTGTTTCCGATAACGGTATAGAAGGACGGAAAATGTTTTCTATTTCTTAAATATTACAGCGTACGCCTTATAACGACCAAATTCAGGCACACTTTGAGCAATATATGTATGGATGCATGCACGCTCATGTATTAGCTACCAGAATAGGACTTCGGTTGCGCGATAATTGAAATGCGTGTCACAAGCTTACACTAAGGCACATAATGGGATAAAGTTATGAAGTAATTTTTCTTTGGGTGCTAACAGGTATGTGCTGAAAATTCGCAAAAAAGCGTCAATTCGCACGACGTTTGACACCGGACGGATTACCGATAAAAGAGGCTAACGAACTAAGGCGCAGTTATTATACTAATTTAATAAATTAATCCAATAATCGTATACGTGGTTATGTTTTACACTTCCAAGCACACGACGATGCACATCGTGTACAATTGTTGTGGCATTTCAGCTTGTTCACTTTGACAACAGTTTTTCCAAGGCGCATTTCTGTAGTCGAGTTATCCAGGGCTCAGCTTTATCGATCGATAAAGACGCGCGTTCCTTCGCTTCTTCGTCTTCAACGGAGATGCAAACTTCCGTGGTCAACTCGAATCCGCCTTGCTTGTAGTGCCTGCAACGGATCAATTTAGCCGATCACTGAGGCTTATCCACCATACTTGGACTGCTGCATGTCACCAAGAATTCGAAAAATGTTTGTCTTAATACCATTGCTATTTCCAGCCGCTGAATCCATATCCAGCAGCCTTGTGCAATCGTTGTGGCAAATATAAAGAAAAAATCTGAAACATTCGTTTTTCGCGTAAATA